GCAACCTCCGCCTCCTGGGTTCAGGCAATTCTCCTGCCTCAGCCTCCTGAGTAGCTGGGATTACAGGCACGTGCCACCATGCCCAGCTAATTTTTTGTATTTTTAGTAGAGACGGGGTTTCACCATGTTGACCAGGATGGTCTCGATCTCTTGACCTCGTGATCCACCCGCCTCGGCCTCCCAAAGTGCTGGGATTACAGGCTTGAGCCACCGCGCCCGGCAGATCTAACTTACTTTCCTTCTCAGTTAAACTCATTGTCATTATGTTAGTAACCAGAGTTTGGCATGTGACTCAGTGGAAATATCAGTTATATTTAAACTTGTAATGAAAACTTCTAACTTAGAGCAGTTGAAACACCAAAGACTTGCTTTTGAGAAACTATTTAACAGATACTATGATGTAGATAGAGTTTTGACATAATTTTCCTTTACATAATACTTAAACATTTTCCCTAAAAATAAGATTAAAGATAAAAGAGATTTAATTTTTAATTTTACTCGATCATTTAATTAATACTGAAATGCAAATAAAGTACATTTAGAAAAAAGTAACTGGTATTTCACTTTGTTGTGCCAACATTTTTCTCATTCCTTTATCTGTAGCAGGAGTCATTACTTTGTGAGATACTGTGCTGAATAGAGCTCTCTTCTAAGACAAGATGCATAGAAGTATACTGCAAGTCAGAGGGTCTGAATTCTATTCTTGGCTCTGACATGTCTCTAAGTTACTCTAATTTCTCTGTGTATGCACCAGTCCCTTACCCCCTAAAATTAGAATTAACTTTCCTTCTAGCTTACCTACTGGGGATGTTGGGAGGACTCATGAAAGAAACCAAATGCTTTTACTTGATGAGAGACAGGAAAAGGGTAGTTAAGGGAGATCTTACAGAAAGAATAATAATTGGGAAAAGAGGCCAAAAATCAAGGGGCTTGATTTACAAAACTTGAGTGATAGTCCTAAAGATAACTTATTAGTATATAAAGAAAAGATATGTGGATTATTTCTAGTAGTATGAAGAGATAAAAAGTTAATCATATATTGGGAAAGAACAATTAGGAAATACACCCAGACAATATTAATGCTTTTGCAACTAGATGATACTATGAAGGTATCAGAGAGAAGGAAATGTGAAATAATGAATAGGCAAAGCAAAAAAGATGAGTGCCAGAAGAATCTTAAATGGAAAATGATAGAAAAATGTTGAATTTTGCTGTTTTTATTTTGATATTCAAATGAAAAAGACAGTAGATAACCAACGAAACGTGGAAAGAATAATGATGTAAGAAGGCATCAAATTTCCTAAGACTTTAAAAATATATTTGTTACCCTGGAATTTTTCAAAATAAAAAGCCTATAAAAATAAATGCAATAATATATGAAACATCTTAGAGCTCATAGGAGGGGAATTGCTGTCTATATTTGAATTATAATCACAGACTATTTGGTAAGCAGAGGGGTAGAAAGTTATGTTTTCTCTTCACATAGTATAGCAAGATAATTAAAATTGGAGGTACATGAAGATCTTGACTCGATTAAACAATTCAGTAGAAATACTGGATAAAGTATATATTTTTTGTTCTTGTCTTTTATGTGAATTGGAAATATTTTTCTGAATTTGTTGCTTTTTGTTAAGTCACATTTATTGATGTGTAATTTATATTTAGTAAAATTGGTACTTTCATGTGTCCAATTCTATGAATTTTAACAAAGGCGTACAATTGTATAATCGTCACCTGTCAACTAAAATATTATTTGTACTTTTTAAAAAGAAAGACTTGTTGGAATCAGTAATTTATATATGTCAGAGTCAGTATAAGGAGTTGCTCAAATTTGGAAAAAATACAAAAAATATGCTTTAAAAGTTAGATGTGTGTGGATTTATACAGTCATGCCCTGTGTGACAACCTTTCAGTCCATGATGGACCAAATATATGATGATGGTCCCTTAAGGTTGTAATATCATATATTTACTGTACCTTTTATATGTTTAGATATGTTTAAATACACTAGTAGTTACCATTGTGTTACAGTTGCCTATACTACTCACTACTGCAATGTGTTATACAGGTTTGTAGCCTAGGAACAGTAGGCTCTACCATATAGTCTAGGTGTGTAGTAGGCTGTACCATCTAGGTTTGTGTAAGTAGATTCTATGATGTTCACACAGCGAGAAAATTGCCCGACAATGCATTTCTGATTAAATTTCTCGATGCATTGTGAGAATGCATTTCTGATTAAATTTCTCAATGCATTTCTCAATGCATTGTGCATTAAATCAAAGCACAATTGTATGTGCTTTGGTTTAATCTATTGAGTTCTACTTCTGTTGATGTTCTAAAGTAACTTGCCACAAAGTTGCTATCTTTATGTAAAATCAGATCAGTTTTTATATGCTCATGGCCATAGGTAATTCAGTACCTCTGGAGTTATGTGGATATATATTTGCAGCAAATAACATTTTGACCACTTCAGGGGTACTTCTGGAGCACTCATTTGAGCATACGTTGATACTTGAACTCTTTCAAAGCCTTTATTTATTGATAAAGGGTACCCATCTATACTACAGGAAGATCTATCAGGAAATATATTAACTTTTTCAGGCTCTAGTACAAGAAGCATAGGGTAGCTGGCACTAAACAAGAATTAGAAAAATAAGCTCTAAGTTGGTAAGATAGGATGTACCTTTTAAGAAATATGTTCAGGGATGTGGAAGAGTTGGTGTTTGTATTATTCTCACCAACCACCTCAGCTCCACCATCATCCATTCTATATCCTTGTTTTTCATTACTGATTCATCCCTGTGATGATAAGATTATGGTGCTGTTCAGTCCAAGGACCCCTGAGATATTTTTTTAAAAACTGTATTGTTGGCTACCCATTTAAACATGGCCATATATTGCACATTTGACTTTGATTAACACTTCATGAGTGTGTCAAAAGAGTGGAAGGCTTTCAAAAAATTAAATTACTGCTATTAAGAAAATAAAATATCCCACACAACTTAGGATGGTTTCTTTTTTATTTCATTTATTTATTCAGCAAGTGCTATTTCAGTTCCTTAGATACTGTGCTAAGAACTGGGAATTCAAAGATATATGCAGTGTTGTCTTTAAAGAGCTTGGCATGTAATGAGGAAAACAGTTAAGTGAACACAGTTGTAATGTGGTATGAGAAGTGTGTCACCTTTTTATTGGTTCATTCAATGCAAATTTATTGAGAACCTGCTTTGTAGCAGGAATTGTTCTAGGTATTGTGGATATAGCAGGAACCAAGTAGGTGAAGTCCTTTCTCTATAGGACTTTCTGGTAGAGGAGATGCACAATAAGCAAAAAATAAAATTATATAGTATTAATTGCCACATGTAGTATTAAAAAAGGACCTCATGATAAGGAGTGACTACATGTCCACTTTAGTTTGGGTGGTTTGAGGAGACTTTAAGATGTGCCGTTTAAACCTTCTTCTAAAAAATAAGGAGGCAGTGTGAAGCCCGAAGAAGAGTATAGGCAGCAGGAATAGTTGGAGTCAAGGTCCCCAAATTGGGTTGAGTTTGTTGTTCAAATGCAAGAAGCCAGTTTGGGTTGTGTGCTAAGAATGGTAAGATATGAAGCTAAAGAGGTAGGCAGAGGCCAGATCATCAAGGCTCTGTATGCTTGGTGTAAGGAGTTTGGTATTTTAGTATAAGTAGAACAGAAATCTATTCGAATATTTTGTGCTTAGAGTTGGTGTGATCTAACATGAGCCATTCTGACTATGGTATGGAGAATGAGTAGAAGCAGGAAGACACTTTAGGAGGCTATCGCAGTGCTCTGGGTGAGAGGTGATGGTAGTTGCACTGTGAGATCATAATGAAGAATAGGTAAGTGGTGGCATTCAGGACATATTTTGGAGGCAGTGTCTCACCAGATTTGCTAATGGATATAGAAGGGTAAAAGAAAGGACTCAAGAGTAGCCCCTAGATTTTTGGCCTGAATGGCTGGGTGGATAGTGGTGCCTTTAATTTTGGAAAGTTTGGTGGACAAAGAGGTTTGGGATGCTGTAAGTTACTGCCATTGAGAACATAAAATATCCCACACATCTTAGGATGCACCACATCCTGCTCCACAGGTACTCTACACTGAAGTGGAGATGTTACGTAGGCATTTGAATGTATGAATCCAGAACTCAGGGGAGACATTAGGACCAGAGATAAATATTTAGGAGTCAGTGGCATCAAGATGGTATTTAAAGCCGTGGATCTCTAGGAGATTATCAGTAGGATCAAGGCCACATAGCTCATAAGTGGGATTGGGATTCAAATTTGGATTTTTACCAACCCCCAAATTTATTCTGCCAAACCAGATTTCTACAGTGTATTTTTACATTTTTGTAGGCTAGTACATTTTCTCAAAAGCTTTATCACTGTGGGACTCAGAGTATTAATTAGCTCATAATTATAATGGCATTTTCTTGTTTTAGTAATATTGCATTAGTAGTTATTTTAATATAATGTAGATTGGTGATGCTCTACTTATAGATCATTAGTAGTGGGGTAAATTTCATTTTGTTGTTTGTAGTATATAATTAAAGAGAAACAAAAACCCTATAAATTATTATGTTGAAGCCATCCTTATGATTTTGTCTCCTTCAGAAATCGAAGTTACTTTAAATGTGGCAAAATTGAAGTTATGTTGTGTTGTTGATTTATGATTGGGTATCTTTTTTTGATCCTATCACCGCAGTGAAATCTTTTGTGCTTTGACAGCACTTTGTTTATATATACTGGCTAATTTTTTATTTTTTAGAAGAGATGGGGTTTCTCCATGTTGGTCAGGCTGGTCTTGAACTCCTGACCTCAGGTGATCCGCCTGCCTCAGCCTCCAAAGTTCTGGAATTACAGGCGTGAGCCACCACACTTGGTCAATAAATTGTGTTTATTAAAACAACTTTATAATTTATGTTTCATATCCATGAGAGTATTTTTCTTGTTTTTGTGTCTAGCATCTGGTATAGTTTCTGGCACATTGGAGATCTGTTGTGTTTATTTAGTGACTAAAGTAATGAACTAAATGAATATGATCGTTACATCTATATTATTTTAACACAAATATTGTTGCTAAAGAAAGCAAGTCACACACTAGCAAATCATATATATATATATATTTTTATATAACAGAAACTTTGTTTCTTATGTGGCTTTTTTCTCTTAAATTGATGAATAAAGTGATTTTTAAAAACATATCCACAGGGGTCTTTTAAATATCCACAGGACATTGTTTCTGGGACCCCCACAGATACTAAAATCTGCAGAGTTGAAGTCTCTTATATAAAATGGCATAATTGCTTATGTAAATTTAATGTTATGAGAAAAAAAATAAAATTGTGCAGTGTTTGCATATAATCTATGTACATCCTCCCGTATATTTTAAGTCATCAGTAGATAACTTATAATACCCAATACACACAATCTAAATGCTGTGCAGTAGTGCAATCTTAAGCCATCTACCCACCTCAGCCTCCCAAATAGCAGGGACTATAGGCATGCACCACCATGCCTGGCTAATTTTTGTAAATATGAGGTTTCACCACGTTGTTCAGGTTGATTGTGAACTCCTGAGCTTAAACAGTCAACCCATCTGAGCCTCCCAAAGTGCTGGGATTACAGGCATGGACCATCACGTTTGGCCTGTATTGTTATTTCTAATCTTTTAAAATATTTTTGATCTGACGTTAGTTCAACCTGTGAGTATGGGACCTGTAGGTAAAGAGGGCCAACTGGATTTTCTACCATAAGAGTTAAATGCTACTTACTCATGTTACTCTCATTTCTACTTTTAGGCCTACTGAACTTGATGCACTGGTATTTGGCCATCTGTACACCATTCTTACCACACAATTAACAAATGATGAACTTTCTGAAAAGGTGAAAAACTATAGTAACCTCCTTGCTTTCTGTAGGAGAATTGAACAGCACTATTTTGAAGATCGTGGTAAAGGCAGACTGTCATAGAGTTATGTGTTAGTCTCATAAGTCTGATTTTTGACATATGTTTTACTTGAATGTTATATTAGATATTGGTATCAGAATTTTAAAACCAAATTACTGTTTTTTGAAACCTCAAAACAAATTATACAATGTATCTTATATATGTGCTTTATATTGTTACTTGTGTACACATTAAAATAATTCTGAATTATTTCATTTGATATATTGTATTCTATATCTTGAAATTTTTGTTTCCTTGAAACGTGCACGCATATAAAAATAAAGCTTATACAACTGTATAGATGTTACATTTACTTTCTTTTGATTTTTCTGAAAGTCATTCACTGAATTTTACACATGTAAAATAAACAGTGTCTTTTCTAAGGCAAGTAATTTGTGTTACATACTCCAAGATTCCCTTGCTAGATACATGGTGAAACTGATAATTGGGAAAAATGTTCTTAGCAAGTGTGCTCTTAGAAAATATGGATGGTTTTAAGGTAATTAAATCTTGGTACAGATTTGACATTTAAGAACATTCTTTATATAGAGACTTAATTGAATTAAAAAACATTTCATTAGAGAGGCTATGGTTTACATTTGATAAAGGAAACGGTTGAGGGACCATTTTGAGACAAGAACATTTTAATAATGCACTTTTATTCCTTTGTGGGAAAGGGAAGATAGTTTTCACAAAAGTATTGATAGGAATTTTTATGTAAACTCTAAGGATTATATGTTGTGTTCTTTTCAAATTTTCTTATAGTTTATATCGTATAAAACCAGTATGCTCTAAAGAGTCAGATGTAAAAAATTATTTCCTAAAAGTGTCTAGAATAAATAGTACTTTTATATTTTCTTTTTATGTACCAGGGAATTTTAACTCATTTAATCCTTATAAAATAGTATGGCTTTGCAGACACTGCTACCATCTGAAGGCACCTGTGTCAGCCATGGTCAGCCCCATGTTCTCCCACATAGCTGTCAAGGAGGAGCTCCACATCTCCTTTGGGTTGTTTGCAGGCAGAGTTCCAAAGACAGCAGAAAACTTTTGTGCCCTGAGCACTGGAGAGAAAGGATTTGGTTTAAGAGTTCCTGTTTTCACAGAATTATTCCAGGGTTTATATGCCAGGGTGGTTGACTTCATGCCATAAAGGCACTGGGGGCATGACTATCTATGGGGAAAAGTTTGATGACAAGAACTTCATCCTGAAGCATACAGGTCCTGGCATCTTGCCCATGGCAAATGCTGGACACAACACAAATGGTTTCCAATTTTTCATCTGTAGTGCCAAGACTGAAGGCTTTGATAGTAGGCATGTGGTCTTGGGAAAGGTGAGAGAGAGGGTATGACTATCATGGAAGCCATGGAGTGCTTTGGGTTCAAGAATGGCAAGACCAGCAAGAAGATCACCATTGCCAACTGTGAATAACGCTAATAAATTTGAATTTTCTATTATCTTAACTACCAGACCATTCCTTCTGTAGCTCAGGAGAGCAACCTTCCACTCCACTTGTTTGCGATATCCTATAATGTTTGTGCTCTCACAAAGTAGTACTTTGGGTTTCATATTTTTTTCTTATTCCCTTCTACATCTAGCTAGATTGAATGAATAAGTTTATGAGAATAAAAACTAAACAACAAAGACAAAACACTGTGAAGGTTATTATTCCCAGTTTACAGATGAGGAAATGGAGACACAAAAAAGATACTACCTTGTCTGAGGTCATAAAGTTGGTATGTGGTAGAGCTGGAATTCACACCCATACAGTCTGGCATCAGTTTGACTTTTTATTTATTTATTTATTTATTTATTTATTTATTTATTTATTTATTATTTTTGAGACAAGCTCTCTGGCACCCAGTCTGGAGTGCAGTGGCATGCTTATAACTAATTGCAGCCTTCACCTTCCCCTGGGCTCAGTTGATCCTCCTGCCTCAGCCTCCCTGTAGCTAGGAGTCCAGGTGTGCCACCATGCCTGACTAATTTTTGTATTTTTTTTTGTAAAAGCGGGATTGCCCCATGTACTAATTTTTGTATTTTTTTTGTAGAAGTGGGATCGCTCCATGCTGCCCAGGCTGTTGTGGAACTCCTGAGCTGAAGTGATCCACCCACCTTGGCCTCCCAAGACGAATGCCTGTGTTGGGATTATAGGCATGAGCCATGGTGCCTGGCCAAGTTTGGCTTATCATCATCATGCTTTTTTTAAAGATAGAAATGTATGCCATATAAAGGATATATTAGGTTTGCCTTAGTCTAAATACCATGTAAACTTTGAGTACTGTCTTTGAACTATAGTATTCTTATTAGCTTTTCTGAGCCAATATTGTAATGTGTATTATTAAAATAAAAAAAATCCCCAGCTACCTGTGTTTTTGTACAATTTTCATGACACATTTTTGTATACATTTTTGTGTTCTTGTATCTAATGAGGCATTTCTCTTTTAATGCTACCATCACATTTATTTAATTGTACAAGTACCATTTATACCTTAATATGCACAATTCTGATTTTTTTCTTTGAGATTTTTTAATATAAAAATAGAAAGATGCTGTGTGAACATGGGTTGTGATATTTTATTCCTGAGACGGGGTCTCACTCTATTGCCCAGGCTGGTTTCAAACTCCTGAGCTCAAGTGATCTGCCTACTTCCACCTCCCAAAGTGCTAGGACTAGAGGCATGAGCCACCACACCCATCCTGGTTGTGATATTCTAATCTTAATGATTATAACTGTCTGTATTCTTAATATGAGGAACACTGGGGAACTTGTTGTTTATTCCAAGTTGACATACTTACTCTTATTTAAGACTTGTAGTATACAGCTCACTCGCAGAGGGCTTGTTTCTTTCTACTGTTGAAGTGAATCACCCTCCGAACAATACAATAGAAAATGAAAACTGACATCTCATTTTGTGATTCAGTTTTTTTCCTTTATCTTTTAAATTTTAGTTTGGAAAGCCAAGTCATAGTAGTTAAAAATTATCACTGTAAAACTACTTTGTTGACAAATGTTTTGCTGCCAAAATTTGCATATTTGTGAGTTTTAAAATAAGTACATGCACCCTTATTTAAATAAAAATTTAAATTGTAAGTAGTTTTTCAGAGTGATAGTTTTACATATGAGAAACTTTAAATCAACAATGTCTACAGTATCATATTTGATGAATGATGTATATTATTGTGTTTAAAATAATTTTATTTTCTATGACACTTTTTAGAAATCCAACTTACTACTTGTTAATTGATTTGAATGCTGTAGTATTTGTTCATTAGGTATCCTAAATCAATGGTCCCCAACCTTTTTGGCACCAGGGACCAGTTTTGTAGAAGACAACTTTTCCATGGATGGTGGGGAGTGGGGAATGGTTTCAGGATGAAGCTGTTTTACTTAGATCATAAGGCATTAGATTTTTATAAAGAGCACACAGTGTAGATCCCTCACGTGCACAGTCCACGGTAGGGTTTGTGCTCCTTTGAGAATCTAATGGTGCTGCTGATCTGACAGGAGCCGAAGTTCAGGCCATATGCTTGCTTTCCAGCTGCTCACCTCCCGCTGTGCAGCCTGGTTCCTAACAGTGTGGGTCCATGGCCCAGGAGTTGGGGACCCTTCCTCTAAATTCAGAAAAATTAGAAATTATAAAGTAGGCCAGTCTAAAAGATTAGTAATAGGTCTTGATGCTTTTTTGATGAACAAATAATGAAAAATATTCTTCTTACTGTTGTACAGGGTTGTCTTTTAATCATACAGGTGTTACATTGAGGTATTTTAAGATATTACATTCCACAGTAAAATTTAAGATACTATAATTTTTTTGAACATACTGACATTTTTTAAGTATTACAACCAGTGGCTTCTTGGTCAACTATTTTGTAGTATGTCTAATCTATTTATGTTCACATACATTAAATCATTTATAAATTTTATTGAGCCTTAAATAAAAAAAATATTTAAAGATTTGATTATATCTAGACTGATATAAATGTTTTCCTACTTTATTTATTTTATTTTATTTATTTTTTTGAGACGGAGTTTTGCTCTAGTTACCCAGGCTGGAGTGCAATGGCGCGATCTCGGCTCACCGCAACCTCCGCCCCCCAGGTTCAGGCAATTCTCCTGCCTCAGCCTCCTGAGTAGCTGGGATTACAGGCACGCGCCACCATGCCCAGCTAATTTTTTGTATTTTTAGTAGAGACGGGGTTTCACCATGTTGACCAGGATGGTCTCGATCTCTTGACCTCATGATCCACCCGCCTCGGCCTCCCACAGTGCTGGGATTACAGGCTTGAGCCACCGTGCCTGGCCCTCCTACTTTATTTTTAAATTTCTACGAATCGAAATTTTGCTAAGTTAGGGCAACTGAATTTGTGGTAAGACTAATTGTTTCTTTGAGATTTTCTACTTGGACAATCCTGTTTTCTGTGAATATAGTTTTATTTCAGCTCTTCCAATCTGTATCCTTTTTGTTGTTTTGCTTTTGTTTTGCCTTATTGCACTAACTAGCACATGCATTGTTGAGTAGGAATGAAATAATGGATATTCTTACCTTGTTTGTGGTATCTTAAGGGGAAAGTATTTAGTCTTTCACCATTAAGTATGAGTGTAGGTTTTTGTTGATGCCCTTTACTGAGTTGAGGCAGTTCCCTTCTAATCCTGATTTGCCAAGAGTTTTGTTTGTTTTTCATGAATAGTTGGTATATTTTATCAGAGGCTTTTTCTGCATCTATTCAGTTGATCTTAGGTTTTTAAAAAATTTATTCTGTTGAAATGTCTAATTAGTTGATTTTCAAATATTAGATCAGCTTTAGTATCTGGGATAAATCCCATTTAATTGTGATGTATTATCTCTCTTTATAGTGTTTGATTTTATTTCCTGGTGTTTTATTTAGGATCTTTATATCCATAGTCATGAGAGATGTTGGTCTCTAGTTTTTGTGTAATGCCTTTTCTGGTTTTAGTATCAGGTTAATACTGGCCTCATTTTGTTGGAGAGGGTTCTTTCCTATTCTACATTTGGGAAAAGTTTAGATTTGGTATTACTATTTTCTCTGTAAATGTTGTGTAGAATTTACCAATTTTACTACGTGGGCCTGGAGATTTTTTTGTTGGAAGATTTTAAACTAAAATTTTAATTTTTTTAATATGCTTAGGACTATTCAGGTCATCTGTTTCTTCTTGGGTAAACTTTGGCTTGTGCCTTTCAAAGAATTTGTCCATTTTCTCTAAGTTACTGGATTTATGGGCAAGAGTTATTTGTATTCTTTTATTATTAATTTAATGACTGTGGCATCCATAGTGATATCCCATCTTT